AGGAGAGGAGAGGAGAGGAGAGGAGAGGAGGGGAGAGGAGGGGAGGGGAGGGGAGAGGCGGGAAGCTCTTGCAAGGATGTGCTCGTAGGCTGCTAGGGCTGCATGGATTTGAGTGTGGTGAAATGCGTGTGTAGCGACACAAGGGAACCAGTGAAGGAGCTCAGGCAGGCGAGCAGAGAAAGACTGTATGACTAAACCACACCACGATGATGCTGCAGCAGCAGCTGCTTCATCAGTGCTACATGAGGGAGCGCCAGTTGGTGGGATGATCGATTCTCGCCTGCAAGCGATCAGAGGGAGAGGGAAGCAACAAGGAGTTGATAAAGCTACCTGCTTCCTCTGAAGCTTCTTGCGGTTCTTCTTGCTTCCATGCCGCTGTCGCATCGCTGCTCCCTTCTCCTGCTGGACTTTCTTCAAGAGCTCTCGTGCCTGAGCCTCCATCTCCTCTAGCGACTTCAACCGCATGCTCGCAGTCTCTCTCATCTTATTCCCTGCCGTGTTCAAGTCGTCGTGCTTCTTGACCTTTTGCTCGAGCACAGGAATCTTCTCGGCGATGTTTGAGGCTGCCGAGGAGATGCTCTTCAGCGAGCTGAAATATTTCTCTTCCCTCTTATTCTTCCTGACCGGCGGCTTCATCACATATCCTTCCTTCCTCGCAAACTGCTCCCGTGCTTGCTTCCGTCGCCACCGCTTCTCCCCGAGAGATAATCTGCCGCCTCCGCGGACTCTCAGACAAGTACCATGAGACATGACGCCCAGCACAAGAGAGCATGCGGCCGAGCATGAGGCACTACTAGGAGTACAGGAGTCTAAGACACAGAGGAGCAGGCAAGTCATCGTCAGTTTTGAGGCGCATGGAAACATTTGACGGGAGAGGAGGAGAGGGAGATGGTGAGGATGATTGAAGCTCTTCGATGATTCTGCCATGGTCCTTCGCGTCTCCTCATTCAACTTTCATCTCCTCCCCCTCCTCTTCTCTTCTCCCCTCCTCTTCTCTTTCATGGCCGCCTTCGGTGGGCGGATCTTGACGGAATGAGGGCGATGAAATTCATTCGAGGGATGAGTGGGGATGAGGGTCCATTGGTTCCTCAACGTGGCAGGAAATGCAGGGGAAGGGGCGCGGGAGAAGAAGAGAAGTAGTATGCTGATAGAAGAGAAGTAGTATGATGATAGAAGAGAAGTAGTATGCTGATACAAGAGAAGTAGTATGCTGATACAAGAGAAGTAGTATGCTGATACAAGAGAAGTAGTATGCTGATAGAGGAGAAGTAGTATGCTGATAGAAGAGAAGTAGTATGCTGATAGAAGAGAAGTAGTATGATGATAGAAGAGAAGTAGTATGCTGATAGAGAAGAGAAGTAGTATGCTGATAGAAGAGAAGTAGTATGCTGATAGAAGAGAAGTAGTATGCTGATAGAGAAGAGAAGTAGTATGCTGATAGAAGAGAAGTAGTATGCTGATAGAGAAGAGAAGTAGTATGCTGATAGAAGAGAAGTAGTATGCTGATAGAAGAGAAGTAGTATGCTGATACAAGAGAAGTAGTATGCTGATACAAGAGAAGTAGTATGCTGATAGAGAAGAGAAGTAGTATGCTGAGAGAAGAGAAGTAGTATGCTGATAGAAGAGAAGTAGTATGCTGATAGAAGAGAAGTAGTATGCTGATAGAGAAGAGAAGTAGTATGCTGATAGAGAAGAGAAGTAGTATGCTGAGAGAAGAGAAGTAGTATGCTGATAGAGAAGAGATTGGAGGTGGAGGATTGTCGCAAGAAAGCGTAAGGAGTACACAACAATTGGGAAAGAGAAGTTATGATAGTGGGGAGGATTTGAAGAGTATTGAGATCGTATTGATAACGAATCGAGTGAATTGGAAAGGGAAGGAGAAACAGCTAGTTAAAGGTGCGATTGCTTCATCTTTGAGGATATTTGCCTGATACAGAACTAGAGGTCAAACTGAGAGACAGGAGGAGAACAAAACTTGCGAGAGGACAAAGAGAAAGCTGAGGCATACCATTCACATGTTTTCAGATGTACACGCGATCAGTCTGGAGCCTTCGCTGCTGAGCTGCCTCCCTCCTCCCACGGCCGACGGTCACTGTCTGCAGCGGCATGGCGATGTTGGATCCTGACGACCACGACGACCAGCGACAGGCGCTGATCGATGAGCACAAGGGCGTAGGTGAGCACAAGCATACATGAGCGTCCGACTAGCTGACATGCCGTGAGCCAGACACGAGAAGCAGCCCTTCCTTCCCTCCTCCTCCCTCTGCTGCCGAACTCGCTCGCTCTGCAATCAAGGTTGGTGGAGCTTCGAACCTTGCAAAGCATGTCTTGTCTGCAGCTGGAGGAGGCGAAGGCAGCGACAACGTGAGGGCGCTGGGTCGAGTTATGGAGGCGTGTGCGAGTTGCTCGTCTGAGTTCAGTCGTCTCTGTCCTCCCATCCTCTGCTCCCAGTGCTCCCGCAGCTTCTGCTATAACTGCGCATCTGAAACAGTCAAACTCCCTCACTCAAAGACCGTCTCACAGGTAACCCTCCCTCCCTCCCACACTCCCACCCATACTAACAGGGGATAGCCGTCGGTGAGAAGCTTTTCAGCATGAGGCACTCCGAAATGGTTAAAGCTCGACAATCCTTTTGTCTCGCCTC